AGGATATTGGGTCCTATTACCAGTTCAGTTTCTAATGTCAACTCCAACTAATACTTCATTCAGTAAACTAATGCAATCTGCATTGAACTGCTTATCTCCTTCAGTGATGATCCATCTTGTTTCTACTGATTCTGCTAGTCCTGCAGTAGTTTGTCCATTGTTGTTAGATCTCATTCTAGTATCAATGGCTTTATCCACCAGTAAACTTGGTTCCATAAATCCTTCAGTACTACAATCATTAGACTGTACTGTACCATTTAACAATAACAACAATAAAAAAAGGAGAGAAAGAGGAGAAGGACTCATCTTGACTGTTACACAATCTCTGCAGCATGCAATGTTGATTTTTACTATTGACTTTAAACTGCCACTCCTTAAAATAGCTAGACTATATAGTGAATACACATACTGAGGATTCACTCAATGATGTGATTCGGTTATTAGCTTTAAAGGGATCACTAATGTGTACTGTTGGTGCATGTATGATGCATAATTCATTTATCTATGATAAATTCATGTTCAGGTGAGCATTAATTGCAATAAAGCCCATTGTCACTGATGCTCTCCATCCACATCATCATTTGAACAGCTTTAAATTAAATTAATTTTGTTTTTTGTTCTTCTGTTAACTTAACGCTTGTATTTTTTGTCTTTGTAACTTAGTCCTTTTGCTCTTTTTATCTGTTTGTCATTCACTGGCAGAACTTGTCAGTGCTCCTTCAGTGCATAATCTGTCTAAATTTTATGTGTTTCTAACTGTCATTCTTGTAAAGATTTATAATAATAATAGTAATAATTATTATTATTTTTACAATGTACAGAAAACAAACCATTAAACACAATGTACTGGTATATAATATGGCTACACAATCAATCAGTTCTTGTACATGTACTGTAAGTCGGTGTAGAGGGAGTGGCTTGTTTCTAAAGCTCCACCCAGTACAGTAACAGGATCCTCTTTATTAATCATTAGTAATTGTTTATCAGGTGAGGATAGACTTGATGATATATCTGAGAAACTTGGACGATCATGAGTATCAGGATTCCTATACAATACAATGATGACATCACTATTACATATCTAATTGTGTGTGGGTGTGCATGAAAGCATGTGGTGGTTGTGTATGATTATAATAATCCACTCAGTTCACATTATTAGGATGTACACTCACTGTACTGTCTATAGTGCATTGGTATATAACTTGATGTCATTATTGATGTTTGATATTTGTGCTTGTTTTGTGTAGTAAACTTTCATGTTATAGTATAATAAATACATACCAGCATTGCATCATTAGTTTATACATTGGTTTAGGACATCCTGGAGGAGGTGGTAATCTATAGCCTGAATCAACCAGTCTAATGCACTAAAATTAGTAAAATTAAATTAAATTTAAAAAGTATAATAGTAATGTTATACTTCTTGATTAGTAGAGTTTTCAAATGGTTTACATCCTAAAGACCAAATCTCATACATTACAGCTCCATAACTCCACACATCACTAGCACTTGAATATTTCTTATAATGTAATGCCTATACATACACAATTCAATATTCTAATTATATAGTTTCTAATTACTTCTGGTGCTGTCCATTTTATTGGAATCTTTTTTGCTTGTGAAATATAATAAGATTCATCTTTTAGATCTCTTGACATACCAAAGTCAGCAATCTGAGACCATACTATATAAAGTCCAATTGTTAGTACTAATCTCTTACCTTGCATATTCCTGTTCCTTCATCTGATACTAATATATTTCTTGCTGCAAGATCTCTGTGAACAAACTTCTTCCTTGACAAGTACT